GCGGAGGTGGGAGGGAGAGAGAAGAAATTCTGTTTTTGTTTTGTTTTTTTAGTGCTCGAATAGAAGTGCTGTGACGACCACAATACTTTTGTTGAGCAGCAGGTGTATTATGACACATTCTCTTCAGATCTCGGCTTTTTGAAAATGATCATTCTCACAACAGGAGCCCGACAGAACAAAAGCTGAAAGCCCAATCATTGAGATCAAATTGAACCAGCAAATTGTGTGTGTTGTATGTTAGTTCTTGTTTGTTTGTTGTTGTTTTTTAGGTGTGTTTTGTTTTTGGGGCTGGTTTGCTTGTTGGTTTTTTTGTTTGTTTGTTTGTTTGTTTGTTTGTTTGTTTGTTTGTTTGTTTGTTTGAGTGAACAGAATCACATCAACACAATACTGGCCATGCAGTGCTCGGAAAAAGTCAGATTGACAGACGGACAGACAGACAGACAGAAACAACAGAGGAAAAGTTAAAACAAATTGAATCTACCATCAACCACCCGCTTGTAAAGTCTCATTAAGCAAAGTCAAACTTCTTAGTTTAGTTTACATTCTAGCAGAGGGGGGGGGGGCGATCATTTTTTTTGTGAGTGGGTACAGACGTCAAATCTCTCCCAAATATATTAAGAGTTATAATTTTCACTTCTTGAAGAAGGGAGGAATGGAGGATGGGGTCGCTTTTTTAAAGAAAATCTCGTATGACATATTTGTTAAAGACATACTAATTGTTTATTATGGGGATGGCGGGCGAGGAAAGATGCGGAGGGGGGGGGGGAGAGAGAGAGAGAGAGAGAGAGAGAGAGAGAGAAAGGGGAGGGGGGGGGGGGGGGGAGAGATATTCTTAGTTATATTTATTTTTTGTTAATGCTCGAATAGAAGTACTGTGAGTTTTGTTGAGCAGCAGGCGTATTATGACATGCCCCCCTTCAAATCTCGACTTTTTCGACAATGTCCATTCTAACAATACCGGTACTAGAGAGGCTAAAACTAGCACCTCAGAACAAAAGCTGACAGCCGAATCACAGTGATCAAATCGAACCAGCGAATGTGTATTGTAAATTCTTGTTTGTTTGTTTGATTGATTACTTGTTTATTTGTTTGCTTGTTTGTTTGTTTGTTTGTTTGTTTGCTTGTTTGCTTGTGTATTTGTTGTTCGTATGAGTAAACAGAATCACATCAACACAATATTGGTCTTCTAGTGCTGGGAAGAAGTACAAAACAGACCAACAGAAAGAAACAACGTACAGAGAAAACAAAAGTAAAAGAATCTACCAGTGGCGCCCTCCAACTACCCAGTTGTAAGGTTTAATTAACGCAATATCAAACATAGTTTAATTTACATTGTACTTACCCGAGCGAGAAGCAAGATTTCTTGAGGGTGGGTAATAATGTCAAATCTCTCTAAATATATTAGAGTTATTTTCACTTCTTGAAGAAAAGCTAATCCAGAAATCGTGGGGAAGAAAGGAGTCACCGGAATCAATAGGATCCAAAGTTGTTCGTCTCTGTTACAGCTTAAAAAAATGTCGTTAAACTTTAATGTTGTCGCAACGCTCAAGCGACATTGAAATATGTTACGGGCGAACCTGTTCTTCTGAGCCAAAGAACCGTATCATGGTGGCCTAATTGTTCTTAAGTTTTGTTTTAAAAAACAAAGAAGAAGAAAAAAGATATTGTCTCTAGTTATATTATCAACTCGCGAGGTGGGAAACGTTTTAACATTAACAGATTAATGTCATGCTATCTTCTAGTTTATTGTTTCAACTTGGACAGCAAAGAGAAAGCAGAACAAGTTACTCACTGTTTATCTAGCCAGGCGGATTATTAAAAGTTTTTAGACAAAAGATACACTGTGTCTCATAATTATGACAACAGGTTTAATGGAAAAGTGTTTAGATGACGGATGCTTATGGTATTAGTGTCTTTACTCTATCAAAATGACAATCAAAATTTTTGTTCACTCCTAATCTTATCGTATCTTTTTGTACTTTTGGGCTTATTTGTTGAGTGGACAAAGATGAACGTCAAAAGGGCTCATTTTCTTAGTTAAGTGACATGTAATTTTGTTGTCTAAAGAAGTGTTTGTAATGTGTGTGCGTGTGTGTGTGTGTGTGTGTGTGTGTGTGTGTGCGTGCGTGCGTGC